GTACACGTAGTGTCCAGTGATACTTGTTAAATAGTCTCATAATGTTTATTATGGAGCTAGGGAGTAACTGTTTTATTGGACCATGTCCAGCTCCCTCTTGAGTTGTATAGTTTTGGCTGGGAGTGGCAATGAAAGTGATTATCAAAGGGGAATCAGCACTGAAGCCTCCAATTTGATAATCTGTATAATATGTTGGTGTTGCGGAGTTTTGAACATATATATTGCATTGAGGGTTCCAATTTGGTGAAATCTGTATGCTGTGTTGGTGTAATAGGAAATTAATGAGAACGCTCTCCAGAGATGGAAAGTTAAAAAAAAAAAAATTTTTTTGACAATAAATGCTTTTAGTCCACTATATTCCCCTAGAAATTGATGTACCATGAAATTGTATTTTTGGAGAGAATGTATAATGAAATTCTTATAGAAAAAGTTAAGAAAGGAATGGGGTTGAGGTCAAGGTGGTAGCACCACGTATGACACATCTACCAATCTCGGTTTCCTTTCCTACCAATACCAAAAAACTACTAACGGTTTCAAAAATTGCTAACGCACGACCAACAGTTAACGTTCAAAAAAAAAAGAAAAAAAAGAAGTTGGCATGGGGCTCCACCAGAAAGAAATATCCTGCCTGCATCTTAGGGTCCCTTTCACTCACTGACGCTGTGGTTTGAGCAGTAACATTTGATATAGTTAAACTGCATTGAGATGGACGTTCAGGTGCTTTATATGACATGCACTCTAGTTGAGAAGAAAGCATCCACATTTTCGTAGTACTATTTTCTTGTTTTTGTCGATAAGAATTTTATTATACATTCCCTCCAAAATAGCAATTTCATGGTACATCAATTTCTAGGGGCATATAGTGGACTAAAGCATTTATTGTCAATCTTGTAAGAAAATTTGTTATATACTAGCAAATACTCATGCATAATACATGAGGACCGAGGAGTTGTCTTTCTCTGCATGTCTGTTTGTGGGTGTAATGATGACGATAATGATACTGAAAACAATATTAATTAAGTCTGCTTTATGTTAATGGTGGATGTGTTGCACATGCTGTGCATGACTACAATATGGTTCTTTTGATCAGGTTCTAGCTATAGATGACCTGCTTTTCACTTTACAAATGCCTGTCATGCGATTTATACGGTTTATATGGGCTGATCATTTCTCTTAGGGAAAAGTGCACTATAATCCAAATAGGTGATGTCACCATTTAATGAAATGATGGACCCTGATGGAAAGTGTTCGACCTGCAATTGTGGTCATTCCTAACTAACGAGGTCCACTGTTTCACAGATTAGCGATGACCTCTGTACTATGGCTCTTATAGCCTATTGGATTATAGTATACTTCCCTTTTCTTTTAAACCTCATTTTTCATAATTATTTCTTGACCAATACTTCACCATCCTACTGCTTTCTTGAAGGCTAGGGAAAAGCGGAAAGAAGAAGAGATGATCGAGCTTGCATGTCCCTTGGGCAAGAGCGAGGCTGTGAACGCTGAATTGGTTGGTCTCGAAAGGGAGCTCTCAACTGAGCGCAAGAAGGGCACCATTGATGAGTTTGGTCTATACTTGTATGGAGTTGTGCTTAAAGAGAAAGGGTGTCCATTTTCATGGAATCCGTCAATGAATACCCATGGAACTGAAGCGCCTGGTCAGAGCTCCAGTCCCTGTACACCACCCTCAACATTTTAAACAGTCTCAACCTAAAAAACCACTGGATGAAAGATTTCTTTCTCGCTAATGCCTATTTAGAGCTCAAAATGTTTAATGAAGCCCTATCAAAGTATGACTCTCTTCAAGGAATTTTCAGGTTTAATGATTATATTCAGGCCCAAGTTGCCACTGTCCTATATAATCTAAGGGAATTCAATGAGGCAGAATTGATATTTGAGGAATTACTAAGAAGCGATCCGTATCGGGTTGAGCACATGGATATTTACTCAAATGTACTGTATGTAAAGGAATGTCCAGCCACTTAAAGCTACCTAGCACACAAGGTGTTTCTCACAGATGAGGCATGAGTCTTGCTGCATTATTGGGAACTATTATTGTTTAAAAAGGCAACATGAAAAGGCCGTCTTATATTTTCGTTGGGCATTGAGATTGAACCGTAAGTATTTATCGGCATGGACAATTATGGGTCACGAGTATGTTGAGATGAAGAACGCACCTGCAGCAATTGATGCTTATCGTAGAGCAGTTGATATCAATCCTCGCGATTGTCGTCCTTGGTATAGTTTTGTATATTATTGTGTGGACACCACAAACACATATTGGGATTGAAAAATATATAATAGTAAGCAGTATTATTAGGATTTGACCAGTTAGGCGTTTGGTCTAGTCAAATGTGGACCAACAACTAGTTGAACCGGCTGGACCGGATTTTAGAAAAAAAGAAAGAACAATAGATGTAATAGTAACAATATAGAATGTATTATAGGTTAACATTATAAAAAAGAACAATATAGAATTTATCATGAAAAATGTTTACCCAACTTTATTTAATTGGTCAAATCGGTTAAAACATAGTGGTCTTTGTGGCTGAAACCAGTCAAATATTGGTCTGGACTTGTTGGACTAGGTTTGATGACTATGATAATAGGTGGACTATGGAATATCATTCTATGTTGGGGTCATGAATATCTGATAATGTAATGGATGGTGACGGATAGAGCAATACACTATTAAGGTTTAAGTCATCACCTAGCATGTGTTCCCATAATTGTCATTATATCACTGGGTGGGCAGGATCCTGATGAACGATAGACCATAGCATACATTCCATGACATTTATTATGGGAAAGATAAATCACTACCTTTTTTAGCATACTGTTTGGCTACAAGTAACATCAGCTATCTTTTGTCAACTATGGGTGGCTGATGTCAATTGTTCCTCCACTCTAATATGTCAGTGTTTTCTTCAGTGGAAGAATGGTTCACATCTGCCCTCCGTGGTTGGCAATAGATGGCTCATATTACTCATAGCATACAGAACAATCTGCCAGAATAAGTCATGGTACACAAACTCTTCACTCTGTGGTGCACCACCACTTTTCTATTTAGCGGTGTATCTTTTATGACCTACATGAGGACATGTTCTTTGGCTTGTGTGTGCTTTTAATAAGTATGGGCTGGGGCAAACTTATGAGACAATGGCAATGCCCTATTATGCGCTATATTATTTTCGGAAGTCTGCATATTTACAGCCCACCGATTCTCGACTGTGGATTGCAATGGCACAGTGTTATGAGACTGACCAGTTACACATGCTTGAAGAGGCAGTCAAGTGTTATAAGAGGGCGGCGCACAATATCGATACCGAAGGAATTGCCATCCATAGGCTTGCCAAGCTCCATAGCAAGCTTGGGTGCAACGACCAGGCAGCCATATACTGTAAGATGAATTTCAAGAAGATGGAAGCTGAACAAAGAGGGGCCGGAAATGCATGCAGATCCATGTATACACTCCATTAATTTGATTTGTTCTTCTTTCTGCAAATTTCTGCCACTCTTCTTGTGGACTCTCATGGTTTCAGGACAAAGAAACTGCTAAGAGCCTTCTTCAAAGGGATGAGAAGCACACCACCATCTGGTTATCTATTAACAAACATGGAACATTTTGCTCCATGAGCTCGATACTTCCACAGGATCTAAGTCTTGTTCAGGATTTGGGGTGATAGGTGTTATTTTTTATGTGCAAATCTCACTTAAGGTTGCTTTTAGTTTGCACTTGATGACTCTTTCAATCTCTCCCATCATATAACATCAATCCCTGTGGGGCATTTTTATGAAGAAAACAGGAGCTCTCCTTGCTTGTTACCAGAAAAAATTCGTGTCCATATTGGGTATTTGGCTCTGAATAAAATCAGATTTCATCTGTTGCTGATCTCTCTCTTTCTCTCTCACACACACGCACGCACAATGGCTGACTTAACAAATTTGGGATGGATACTTGACAATGGCTGACTTAACAATTTGCCTCTCTTGCATCACAATCGAACTTTGAACGTCATACCATCTTATCTTTTCCTCTCTGAATTACTTTCTCAGGTTTCCTATCAATCATTTGTGGGTGATAACTTCTAGTAGAGATATCATCACAACGTGTCGGCTTTCTGTTCGTGAAGCAAGTTCTGTTTCTACCATGGGTAGGGATACCTTCCCCATTGAATTATCCAAAAAAAGAAGCAAGGTTCGATATTTCTTATAGGGAATCGCTCTATTTGAATGCGAGAGTTGCAGGGCCAAGCTGGATTTAATGAATCCAAAGGGATACGAATGAAGTTTGCGCACTCTCTATGACATCTTTTACAAATTGCTGAATCTTAGAGACCAGTGATGTCAAGCGTCGGAAGGAAGCAAAAACTATAGTGAGTGGAAGGACTGAGAAGCCCAATTCCAGTGCAAGCATCTTCAATATAAGTTATGGTACCTGTGGTTTTATGCACGAGATGTATCTGTTTTCATCAGCCATTGAATCCCCTCATTGTTGTTGAAAGACATCCTTGTGCACACAGGAGGGGTGGAGAGAGAGAGAGAGAGAGAGATGTGGTGTGGGTAGATGAGGCTATCACCTGTTAGGACATCATTTACAGATTTGAAGGTTCTTTGGATGATTATAGCTATCCACCATTATATTTGAATGTTTCAAAAGTCAATTGCAGATATTTCTTAAATAGTGTTATCAATGAGAGTGTCTGGTACATGTTCAAAAAAAGAATGAAGGTCTTTGGTAAGTACGCCAAGTGGCTTGAATCATGCGGCTGCCCTGGTTTTCAACAGTTTCAGGAACCCAAAAACATCAAATTCATTTTCACCTCAAATCCATGAATTTGGAGCTCCATGGATACTGTAGATGTGATATTCATTGAAGAACTGAAGAGAGAAAAAGAAGGGGAAAGAGATTAAGTTGGGCCATTGAAGTCAGTGTGAATTCTGAAGATATTTCAGAGAGAGAGATGCCCCTTTTCCAAAGGAGGATGGCTAAAGAAGTGGAAAATGCAGCCAACTGATGATTATCATATTAGAACTCCCAAATAGACATGGATCAATCTGCAAATGAATAAATCAAATAGTACAATATCACCAGTTTGGAAAGGTGGGTGGTGGCAATGGTCGAACATATCGACTGGAAAATCATCAAAAAAGCTGTCTGGGGTTGCCGGGAAATCCTCGTCCCCTCTTATCTCTTGCCCGAATTCATTTCCCGACAAGCCTGAAAGGCTCTCCTCCGCAAAAAAGGGCATGGGATTGGAGTTTGCAGGCAGTAGATGAAGGTTTAGAGGGGGCTCTTGGATTTGAAGCTCCGTTTTGGGCCTTAGCTCTTGGAGAGATGGCTTTTTTATTAAGGTTGGGAGGCTTTCTCTCACTGGATCCGGCAGCTGAGGTGTGGGAATGACTTGAGAAAATGGGGTGAGTGGGTTAGGTCGGCAAAGTGATATCTGGTCTGAGGAAGCTGCGTTAATCACTGTTGGATCCTGAAATTAGACAGAAAATAAGAATGATTGCAAAAATGAGAGAGAGGAAAAATAATACATTCTAGAGAGAGTGAGGGAGAGAGAGAAGGGTTAATTGTACTGTTGGAGGCTGAAATTAGAGAGAGAAAATGATACTGACCGCAAAATAGAGAGCAAAAAGAGGTGAGAATACATTATAGTGAGAGTTTAATAGAGAGAGATTAATTATCCACAGTTGGGATGCTGCATTGGTGTATATACCATTCAATAATGGTGTGAAGGCCTACTTTCTCTAACTAGAACAACTCTGTCCCTTCTCTTTCTAAATTGCCAGAAAAGAAAAGAAAAATGGAGTTCTCTTTTATTCTATATCCAGACACCAAATCTGCGTCTATTGAATTTTTCCTTTGGTTAAGTTAATTAATTGCTGCCACAATTTTTTTAAGGAAAAGTGTACAATATGACCAATTATGTCTAGTACACGGAGGTCACAATTAATCTTGACCATTAGATTGGATATGAAATTAGACGGATGCATTTGTTTTAACACGAACTTTTCAAAGATCATGACACATCAAATTTCATATCCATAGTTATAGGTAATTGATTTCATATCCATAGTTATAGGTAATTGTGATATCTTTGTATTAAAGATAAATAACTCATGTGTAGAATCTATTTTTTTAACCATTTAATTTTTTTTACGACTTAAAATAAATAGCGTCTATATTTTTCCTTCTTCCTGTAAATCACATAAAATCTTCCACCGTTTAAATTTCATATTTTGCTTTCAAGAGCGACAATGTGCTATATAGTTTGATTGCCCTAATTCAAAACAAACATTGCTAAAACCACTAAATTTGTCTCGAGGGCTGGACCCAGACGGGTGAGAGAGCCAGAGGTCATAGCCCGGCCTTGCTCTGCCCTTTTTATGTTTTTCTTTTTATAAATAAAATAAATATAGTTAATATTTAATGGTGCGGCATGTGGCTCGGCCAAGCCACCTAGACCAAGAGCAGGTTCGGCCCAACCTAGCCCTTTTGGCTTGGTGAGGGCATGGGGGGGCCTCTAGGGTCCAAGGCGGGCCAGCGCTCGGGCGGCCAATTGCCACCAATTCTCTCTCTCTCTCCTCCATCCGTTACCTGAAAGGTCACAAAGTCCTGGAAAACCGGGGTCTTTGCAGCTGGCTCACTGCTTCCGATCAGTGGGCGTAATGCTCTACTCGGCCGGGGTGGCGGAGGGAGTGGCGCCGCCACCTGTAATGTCCTAGCAAGCCTCTTTTGCCTTGTGCTCCAAAAATTCTTCACGTCATTATCAGTGCGGCCTGGTAAATAGGTAGAGATTCTTGCCCATTTATTCCCGAATTTCGCTTGTAACTCGATCACAATTCGCTCTTCTTCAGATGAAAATTTGCACCCACTAGAAGCAAATAATGCAAAAGTAAAATAAATACGAATTATTTATGGTAAAGAAACTTCTAAAATGCATAAATTCTTAAAATGACTATGAGGCCCCATCTTTTGGATGGTTCAGTAGTAGGAGTCGAACTTGAGATGTGGTGTTGCTAACTTTAACTGTTAATGACTCGAATCTGAGCCCAATTCTTAATTTAAATGTTTTTATTGCAAAAGAGTTTCCAATTAGGAAAAGAGCCTAGCTTAATTGGTTAGCATTTGATGATTTGCAACGCTACGTCTTAGGCTCAATTTCTACTAAAAGTAGGGGCCCTCTCCCCGTTGACTCACTCAAAAAAGAGTTTTCAATTATCTCGTGTTGGCTCAAGACTTCAATATTACTTTTTTATTAAGGAAATTGAAGGCTTATTTTTAATACACAACCACCCATAATTGTGAGATGTGAAATTGAATAGTACGAAGTTTTTTTTTAAAACAAATCTTGAATAGAGTTTCTTGAACATACTCTGCCAACCACCTGAATTTACACTTAATATCTAATGGTAATTATAATCTTCTTATACTAAAAATAAAGTATTATTGTATAATTTCTATTGGAAATGCATATAAAAAGATATTTACTTTTAATACAAGGAGATCACAATTACTCTTACCCATAGGATTTCAAAATGGGTGGCAATAAAAGCATCATTGATTAGATCCAAAATTCAAATTTTTTTTTTTTCGAACTTCGTGATTACTTCAAACTTCTAATTTGATTTCTACTAGTCTCATAGTATACAATCCCATTTCTCTTCGTAAAAAACAATTGTATAATTTCTATTGGAAATGCATACAAAGAGATATTTACTTTTAATACAAGGATATCACAATTACTCTTACCCATTAGATTTCAAAATGGGTGGCAATAAAAGCATCATTGATTAGATCCAAATTTCAAAAAAGAAAAAATTTTGAATTTCGTGATTACTCCAAACCTTCTAATTTGATTTCTACTAGTCTCATAGTATACAATCCCATTTCTCTTCGTAAAAAACAATGTAAAAAAATAGTCCGGTGGGTAGCACTAGTCACCCATTGGTTCCGAATTGAACTTACTCGGCCAATTTAAATAAAAATTAATGTAAACAAGGTTCAAAAAGTTTATTTGAGGATCCTCAAATCATTCTAAAACCAATATTTTATCACAATAAAGTGTTATTTAATATGATTTTACGGTGGGTTAGTTTGAGATCTATTCACCTAAGGGATTTTGACCGGTCATCCATCTGTTTTGAGTTATACAAAGAAAATCAGGCATTTGCCGACCTTATAAATTTAAACCTTTCTAGAATATTTAAAAGAAAATGAAAAAAAAAAAGAACTATTTTTAGAAAAGATCTTTACTCTTTAAAATCACCGAACAGCATCATGGGGTGGATTGAACCCGTGATCTTTCCAATAATAAAACTGCTCTCATTATCAAAATATCTAAGAGAAAAAAAAAAAAGGGCTACAATTTCATGCTAAGGTACAAAAAAAAAAAAAAATGAACACCCCCCAAACAAAGAACGCTATAGCACACTGTTTGTGCAAGTGCAGGAGCGATTCATCTCCACCGTCTATCATCGAGAAGGGACGTTTATGAATCACATGAAGCATGCAAACACTGCACTACGTATACTCACAATAGAGGACGTCAATTTCAGAATAAATGAGAAAAAAATAGTGAGAAATTACGTTTTAACGTCGGGATTAAGCTTGTTAACCCATCGCAGGCGGCAGGATTTGCCTGTTCTCGGTAGGAGACCCTTGGATCGAATGGCGCTCCAGTCTCTGGGGCCGTGCTGTCGGACATACTCCAGCAATATCTCGTCTTCCTCGGGCATCCATGGCCCCTTTCTCATCGCACCCGCATCAAACATTTTTCTGTGAAAGATGACTTTTTTGGTTGATTAGATAGACACTAAAAAACTGTGTTTTTTTTTTTTGGTTTTGTGGGACAAGAGAGAAATTTTCTTCTTTTAATGCAGAGAGAGAGGTTTCGTACCCTCTCACTTGCAAAACACTAAACCAAATTTGCTCAAAAGCTGTTTCTCCCATTGAAAGCTTGAAAATCAGCAACTGGGTACTCTGAGTTACCGTTTTTCCCTGAACCCAACTTCATTTTCTTGGATTCTTCTTTCTCAAATTATTAGATTTTTGCAGTCATAAAATGGATTTTTGAAATCGGTTTTCACCAAAAAGAAGATTCAAACTGGAGTGCAATGCAAAAAACTTCTGATAAAAAGGGTTGAGAGAGCATTTGAATCCACACAAAGCTTGAAGGGAAGTGAAACACTTAAGTTTCAGCATTCTTAGGACTTGGGGTTTTTGCAGGAAATTTAAAAGAGCCTTGATGGATTGAGTGGCATCTTAGAGGGATCGTGCTCCTAAATTTGGGGAGAGAGAGAAGGTTTTGAAAAGAGAGAGAATGGGGTTTTGAGTAGGGAGTGAGAGAGAGTTTAGGTTTTGGAGAGAGAGAGGAGTTTTTATGCTTTTTTAGAGAGAGAAAGACGGTTAATTCAGTTAGTTCTGGAGTGATCCACCACCCACCTTCCACTACCCATTTCCCCATGTTTTTCTCAGAGAAAATATACGTCTAGAATACCCCACTCTTTCTGATAACACCCCTGACTTCTGCTTTAGTTTGAAAGTAAAACTATGTCAAGAGTTTTGACTGGGTCAATATCCGGATTATGGCTTGAGCAAAATATTATCCATTGACGATTTAAATCCAATAAAATTTAACATGCCTTTTTATGTAATTTTGGCAAAATATTATTAGTAGCAAACTTATTGTTAATATTTTTCTTAAGCAATAAAATGAAACTCCTAATTGTTTGCCCTAGTGAGAAATATATAACATGGCGGTAATAATTCAATTTTTTAAGGAAAAGGTTTATACAAGGTTGCAACCACAGATGCAATTAGAAAATCCATCCGAAAAAGTTGTTTTAATGTTGAAAAACCTTCTAATCGATCATCTCACTATCAAGATGTATGATTATGAAAAAAAAAGAAGGGATTTTGAGTCCCAAAAATAGTGCATCATACAACACATTATCTAGACCGTCCATTTTCAAAATGTTCACATGATGTATTTGATTTTAACTATTTTTGGAGTTTAAAATTTTATAATTAGATATAAAAATAGATTTTGAGATAATCTTAAGAACATTTTACATCAAAATTATATATTATGATAAAATTTGAAGGTGCGCGTTAATTAGATTGTTTAACGTTGCAACCTTATGGAAACCACACCCACTTTTTTAAAATTTGCCATATTTAATAAGGTTGCAACCTTATGAAACCACACCCACTTTTGAAGAATTTGCCATATTTAATAAGGTTGCACCTCAAAGGCCTAGAAAAAATAGGGAAAATTGTAGATACTTCTCCCCAACCAAACTTTTTTTTTCACAATTTTTACTCCAAAACCAAATTTATAGCAAATGCCCCCAATCAAAACATCATATTTTTTAAACAAAATGCACATATCACCCCCAAGTCTCCCATGGCTCCATGCACTATCTTTTGTCTCTCGGTTTGGCGTTCACCTATCTTGGTTCAGCACATCTATGTCTCGTTCCGGCAGCTGTGATTTGATTAGTTTTCACATGGTCTGGCACTTTTTGAACTCGATTCGGCACTTTTTCTCTCAATCCGTCACTATTTGTTTTCGGTCCGACATTATTGTGAATCCCCAATCCGGCAGTATCATGCAATGGGTTCGGCAGTGTGCAGTTCCAGTCCGACAATACCATGTAGTAGGTCTGGCAAACTTGTCCACGTCAATGTCTGACTAAACATGTTTCTTATGTATGGGTAGGGACATTTTTATCAAAAAAAAGTATGACTTTTTCCCTTAAGGGGGGAGGAGGGGTATCTAAAATTTTTTCAACAAAATATAATTTTGGTTTAGAGAAATTTTCGTGTGGGCAGGGCTAAGAATTTATCTTGTTTGGATATGAAACTTGAATTTCGGACCCCATCTACGTCCGGGTATGGGTCTAAGATATAGATTCGATGGGTCAGATTCATATCTAAAATTTGGATCGGATCAGAGTATAGGTGGATCCGATTCAGATCCAACCCATTCCCAGCCCTATAAAATTTGAAGCTCCATAAATTGTGTAGATTCGGTATTTAAAATAGACAATCTAAAAGCACGTTACAAGAAAAATAATGTCTATGGTTTGAAATCCCTTTTTTTTGATCCATTATCCCGAGATCAGAATGATTGATTTGCAAATTTCCAAATAGTGGGACTATATTTTCTAATGATATATTTTTTTTGGGTAATTCAATGGGGAAGACAAGCTCTTACCCGTTTTTCAAATGAATTAGGAATTAATGGTGGAAATGAAAACTAGTATTAAAGAGCCATGAATCTACAATATACTATCTCGTCTTTAATTAAATTCGTCAAATGCATTATTTTAATTTGAAATAACTCAAAAATCGACTAGGGAAATGGTCTTCTAGAATACACATTCTTTTTACTCAGTGTTTTAAAATATTATTCATCTTCCTTGGCAATGGTGCATTGCATGTGACATCAACTAGTTTACTTCTTCAAGCTTGTCTTTGGGCTTAAAAAGAGCCAATGTAGCACGCGTGTCAACATTTTTTGCTGTATGTACGCATATTAAGGACATGACACTTGTAATTGAAAATTTGAATAAATTTTTTTTTATTTTTCTTGTTGAAAAATTACATAATTTTTTTTTTTTTTTTTTATTAGAAGTACTTTGATGCCACATAAAACTTACCTCTTTTTATCTAAAAGATGGACATGCGTTTGAAAAACAAAGGTTAGAGTTGGTGTTTTTTACTCTTGTATTTATTTCAAATGTGGACAGAGTACTTGTGTCTTGTAATATAAGAACAGAACAAATGACTAATGTTTGTATATACATGATACATTAGAAAAATACATATAACTTATTTATAAATATGAGAAAAATACTAGTAGAAGATCTTATATTTTTAGTATAAGAAGGTTGTAATCATTCATATCTGCCATATTTGAAATTAGATAGTTAATAGTGCACTATTAACCATTAAAAATCCAAGAGCTTTTGCTCTCAACGTCACACCCCTAACTGCTCGATTTCACATCTAATGGATGGCTAGGGTGGTTATGACTTTTTTGTAGTAAACATTCTATTAAATACAATCTCAATGAATATCGCAGTTTTCATATTCATGGACACATGCACTATATCATAATAGCATGCGTATGTATGCAAGTTTGTCAACTACTACTAATCATCATCATTTGAGCCATATCCCTATTATTTGGAGTCGGCTAAATGAATCTTGTTCCGCAAATGTCTCTATCAAATACTTGTATAATATCATCCATATGGTCATGAGGACAACATGTCCTAGTAGTCATCAATGGGTTGGACAGTGATGGAAAGAGTGGATCTTGCCAAAACATGTTATCTATTCATCCACAGTCTATCACCATTCAACCCATAAAATGGATAGTAATAATTCACATGGTTATGATGTTATGATAATAATGTGGATCTATTATATGTGGTGCGGTGTGTAGCCTAGGCTCCAAACAATAAAATTAGAGCCTACCTTTAAATAGTGTTAAAAAATGTGGTTTCACTACTGGAAATCTTTGTGATAGCCTTAAAAAATATATTTTCATATTTATTTATAAAGCTTAAAGCTTCAATAATAGTGTAGATTGGCAAATCTATGAGCATTTGAAATATTGAAAATTGACGGTCCAAAAAGCGTTACAAAATACACTATTTTCAAAACTTGAAATCCTTTTTTTCCTCATTACCATGCATCTTGATGTCCAGATGATCAATTTGAAGATATTTGAGCTTCAAAATCACTTCTTCTAAAGAAAATTTTGAGATATGCTCAAATTTAATTATTTAGAGCCTGGCTTTATACGAACTTTTTCAATTATATATTGATGTGGTTAGAACAAGGCCCTAGCTTTACGTTGAAAAAGTAAAAGTGCACTTCAAAACTATATGGAAACTATGATTCTAGTGTTGAAAACCCCCATGATAGAGGGGAAATCTATGTCCGCTCGTTATGAAATTTAGAAGCTCCAATAATAGCGCACGTTAAAGAGGCGTGTTTGATAACAGGAAACGCACATTAAAAACGCGTGTTTGATAACAGGAAGCATCTTTCTGGAAGTGGGACTTATTAATATTATTCATTTTTCGTGTTTGATAAAAAAACGGAAGTTTAAATGTGAACGTCACTGTACTGTAAAGTTCCCTTCGCACCACGCGACTAGCTCAGGCAGACCCCTCTCTTTGCACGCAGTCCTCGCTAGGGTTTACTCAGCTGTTGTTGAGCTCTGATCCTTGTTATTGAGCTCTGGTCGAATACTGTATTTCTCTTCTCTATCTCACTCGAAGACGGAGGAGGAAGCAAAGAGCTCTTATTAAGGTTCATGTGAGTAAGAAAATGAAAGGAGAGGGAAGGAACTAAATTTGATGAGTTGCTTCCCAAAAAGGAGACTTGTAATCTTCACACCAATGGAGTTACATTTTTTTACCTATTTTCAGAAAATTTTAAATCATTTTTATTCGTTGATTCATGGCGATTTTAGGGTTTCAGAGGAACTTCTAGCTTATTTTCTGAGAAAATTACGGAGTTTTTTTATTGCTTTTTCATGAAATTGTTCAGTATTTCATGGTTGCGTGGTATCCATATTTAGGGCCCGTGATATTTTTCAATTTAAATCTTTGTTTTACTTCTAGTCACTAATGGTTTTCTTACGTATTGAAAGAACTGTATGAATTAATTTCATAGTAAGATGTATCAGAGTTTGTATAGCCGCAACTTTGTTCTTGGTGAGACCCTAACCCAAAATTTCATTGTGAGACCCTAACCCAAAATTTCCAGGGATGCCCAACTTTTTCCCCAAAATCTTTTTGGCTCGCATACTAACTCTAAATTTGCAGAAAAAAGCAATTTGCCCCCAAAATCCTTTGAGCAAAAACCTAACCCTAAATTTGCAGAGCAACCCGTTTCTTCACTGGCCAAGAGCTGTACATTCCTCTGCTGATTCCATTCCAGAGAAGACTCCATCAACCTTTGCTCATTCTGGTCCCCGAATCTCTCGGTTAGCTCGAAATGAAGCTGAAAATGCTCTCTTGGACTATCTCCACTTCACGAGATGCTTAAGTTTCACTGACGCAGAGCACATAAGCAAGAATTCACCCACTTTTATTCGCTACCTCCTGTCAAAAGTTGAGAACAAGAAAGAGATTGGTCACTCAATAACGAGGTTTTTACGATACCATCCCATTAATGAATTCGAGCCATTATTTGAAAGCTTGGGGCTAAAACCTTCTGAATTTGCCTCTCTACTCCCTCGTGGCCTTATGTTCTTAAGTGATGATCAATTATTGTTAGACAATCTCCATGTTCTGTGTAAATATGGTTTTTTGCATAGTGAGATAGGGAATATGTGCAAGGAAGAGAGAGAAATTTTCAGACATGAAGACGGTCTCTTGCTTTCGAAGCTCAAAGCTTACAAGGAGCTGGGTTTCAGTCAACCTACTGTTGTAAAGATTGTGGCTTCTTGTCCTTCTCTTCTTGTTGGGAATGTTAATGAGGATTTTCCTAGGTTAATTGTAGAAATTGAAGGTTTGGGTATTGAAAAAGATTGGATAGTGGGGTGTTTATCCCCAAAGAACAAGTATAATTGGAAAAGAACGCGGAGATTATTGTCTTTTTTGGAAAGGATGGGTTTCAAGAAGGGGGAATTAGCTGAAGTTATTCAGAAGCACCCAAATTTCTTCTTCGAAGGATCAGGAGAGAATATGTATGTTCTGATTGCTCTATTGATGAAATTGGGTTTTCACATAAATGACATCACGAACTTGATTTGGAATTTCCGGAGAGATTCGAGCCCAAATCTAGCGAAGAATTTTTGGCATGGCATACATTTCCTATATGGAGCTAGGTTAAAAGTCGGGGATATAGTGAGGCTCGTGCACTCATACCCTCGTGTCTTGAGTTCATGTACTCTAAAAAGACCCAAATTAGTGAAGCAACAGTTGAATGTGGGGTTCAAACGTTTAGGATTGATGATTTTAGAGGACCCAAATCGATTAAGAGATTGGGGATTGGGGATGAAGCTCCACCCAGTTTCTGGTCCCACAGAGGATGAGCTGTCATTACTCAAGAAGACGCAATTCTTGTTAAAATTAGGATTTGTTGAGAACTCAAAGGAGATGCTCCATGCTTTGAAGCAGTTTAGAGGCAAAGGGGATGAATTACAAGGGAGGTTTGATTGTTTGGTAGGAGCAGGATTTGAACGTAATGAAGTCTCTCACATGATAAAGCTTGCTCCTCCAGTATTGCAACAAAGACAAGAAAAGCTCCTGATAAAGATAGATCTCCTTGTAAATAGATTTGGGTATCCTCTGAAATGTTTGGTGCCTTACCCCTGGTTACTTTGTTATGATGTGGGAAGGATCAAGCTTAGGTTTTCAATGTGTGAATGGCTCAAGGAGAAAGGGGTGACCAGCCACACATTGGCTATGGGTCCTATTATTTCCTATTCAGAGAAGAAGTTTATCAAGAAGTGTGTTAGTCTCCACCCTGAAGGTCTGGAGGTTTGGGAGGGATTAAGCAAATATATGGTTTTGGGATGAGGTTTTATCTTTCATTTTGATTAGTTGTCTCGATTTGCAGAGATATATGCAAACTTTCAATGATTTATCTTGTAATCCTCACTTTGGATCCTGTGTTTTTCTCTCTGCATCGTTTATCAAAAGGATTCATCATACTGCTCATGATCTTGGCCAAAAGGCTATATATTTTCATGATTATACAAATAGCCAAAGGAAAAAAAGGATTGAGTACACCTTTTTTCTGTTATGTGTAACTGAGTCTCTGTCTTGGTTCAAACTCGAAAGGGATTCTTTCCTTATTTTTAAGGCGAGGCCCCTTCAGCATATTTTGCAGAACGAGGTCACACTTGCGAGGCTCTGATTTTCTGAAAATTTTCTTACAAAGATGTTTGTAAAAGAACTAGTTTATTTTTATATGTTTGGAGAAGAATTGATGATGTGATGAGTGATTAGGGCCTTACAAAATCTTACCAGACATTTGAAGGTCTGGAGGTTGGGGCGGCATTAAAGAAATAAATGTTCTCGGGATGAGGTCTTATCTTTCTATTTGATTCAATTGTGTGGATTTACTGAGCTAGGTGCAAGCTTTCAATGCTTTATCTTGTATTCCTTACTTTATCCTTTATGTTGTCTCTCTACAATCTCTGATTGAAAGGCTTCGTCATGCAACACTTGATCTTAGCCAGAGGGCCAATAAAGGTATACAGTTTCATCATCATACATTCAGCCGAGAATAACATAAGATGGATTCATTATACAGTTTCTCCATTGTGTTGCTGACATTTTGTCTAGGTACAAACTTGTAAGGTCTCATTTTTATAGGCTTCCTTAAGCTTATTTTCTCTGAAGGAGGTCACAATTGCAAGGCTCTTATTTGCTCAAAATTTTCTTACCAAGGCATTTAACCTTGGGGCTTGAAAAAACTAAATCTATTTTTGGATTTGTTTGGAGAAGAAAAAACTAAATCTATTTTGGATTATCTCAAAATTTATATTTAATTATAAAATTTTAAACTTCAAAAATAGTTAAAATCAAGTAGATCTATAAACATATGAAAATCTTGAAAATGGATGGTCTAGATAATGTGTTGCAAGATGCACTATTTCTTGCTCTCTAAATCTTATTTTTTTTCATATTCTTATATCTCGATATTGAGACAATCAATTAGAAGGTTTTTCAACATTAAAACAGCAATTTCTGATGGATTTTCCAGGGGCATCTGTAATTCCACATTTTATGGTTGCAACCTTATATAAACTTTTTCCTTTAAAAAATCATGTTTTTGGCATTATTCGGACCTTAAAAATTGTACACGCCTTCTCTTCTTCCTAATAACCAATCTCCAAAAAAAAAAAAATTTAATTTACATTCTAGATGTGGTCAAAATGAGACCCTCTCAAACAATGAATGTAGACCATCCATTTTGTGAAATTCAAGATTTAAGCCTCTACAAATTTAAAATCTTTTTTTTTTTTTCTTCCTCTTTTTTTAACATTGTTCATCTAATGATAATAAAGCTATCAAAAACATTTGGAAAGGAAAACATCTTCCAAGGTCTAGATCTAAGTATCTTACAAAAATGGACGGCAACTTATGTTAATTAAGCTAAAAAATACTTTTTAGGGCGTGTTTTCAAATTTTACGAAAATAAAGCCATTTAAAAATTTGAAAAATAAAAAAATCTTCCAAGGCTTAAATCTGAGCTCTTATCAAAACGGACGACCTATGTTAATCGGGTTAAAAATAAATTACATTTTATGGTGTGTTTTCAACTTTTGTTTTTTTATGATTATTCCCTACAATAAAAGCAATATATATTTAGAAATTAGGGTCAAACCAATGGCCCTAGCATAGTTTTTGAAAATTGTTTCATTATGCTGCTATACAAAGCATAGTTTTTGAAAATTGTTTCATTATGCTGCTATACAACTGTTGCATGAAGTTATTCCTCATTTTTATTTGATTTGTATGTTCTCCTCTTATTTGTGAATGGACAACTGCATTAGACATCAACATTTACCCCAAATCAAATTGGAAACGTATACAAAGAGATAATTTACTTTTAATACTAAAAGGTAGCAATCATTTTTTTTATTTTATTTTATCAAATTTTAAATCTGGTGGTTGTAAGTAAGTTATTAACTAGATTCAAAGTTAAAAAAAAAAAGCAATTCTTGAATTTCACGACACACATCAAGCCATCCAATTTGATATTTAATGACTAGAAGTGATTGTGACCTCTTTGTAACGAAGTAAATGGTCTTCTGGTATAGAATCGTAGTCAAATTTTTGTATTTTTATTTTATTTTATAATCTTTCCATTTTATTTGTTTTATAAATGAACCAATGCCCAAAATTTCAAATCATGGCTTGAAGATGAATTGAGACATAAATAGTTCATATTTAAGACCATTTACATAAAGGGATTGTATACAATGAGACCATTAAATACCTTTTAATACAAGGAGGTTACAATTACTTATAACCATCCTATATGAAATATGATAGTTTGGGTGTGTCAATAGAAATTTAGAAAACAACCATCCATATTTTCTTTTCCTATTTCTCATCAATCCAAAAGGGATTTGGATTGATGGGTTGTTGCAGAAGATTTCTTAGATCAAATTTTTTTTTTGGGGGTAAATTATCTATCTCTACGTGATGGATTTTTGGGTCTTTGGTTTCTTTTTCACTTATTTTGGTTTCTTATCAGTTTTGGTTACTCGCTCTTATATGCCCTTGTTTCTCTGTGGTGCTCTAATTTTAATGCTCTCTCTTTGATGCTTTGACTTTTTATGTAGCATTAATAGCTCTGTGAATCTCTGCTTTAAGCTTTTTTTATTTTTCATTAACCGTTTATTCATGCAAGATCTCTGATCAAATGCGCTACAAGCCTAGAACAGTATTTGAACAATGATATTGTTGATTGAATGTGATTGACACTATAGTAATCAATGAAACTTTAGAATTTAGATCAATGGATTGATTGTTTGTGACTAGTCGCTGTTCCTTCTTAGGAATGCACGTTTGTCCTTACTCAAGTAGCTATTCCTTCTTAAGGATGCAACTTGGAGCATTATTGTGGTATCAAAATTGATATTGTTAGAAGGCGCTGCTTTCTCTTCCAGCATTTTAGCAGTGGAATTAAGAACTTGGGGGTAAGAACCAAGTTGCTTTGAACCCATGTTTGTTCACAGGATTGCCTTGTGAATACCAACAGGAACTGGAAATCTTGCCAACCAGGTAAATGTCTTGGCATCCCAGGCTTAACAGAGTTGGGGTTATGAATTTAAATCCATTTTAGGGTATTATTATGTTTCTTTTGTTGTGGTTTTTACTATTTTTATGGATTGACTTGGGTTGTTATTTGGTTTAAGCAATGAATATGGTTTAGCTATTTTGATTGGCTTGGAGTTATTTGGATGATTGTTTAGTGGAATTGGCTCCTCTTTGGGTGTTGCCTTTCTTTAGATTTTTGATTTGTAGATGAAATCTTAGTTATTCTTTTCCTTATTTCCTTCTTGAATTCACTGGAGCCATTTGGTCTTGCTTTTCATGGCAGAATTGATGTGTAGTTCACATAAAAGTGATTGGTTAAATTCATCTCTAAAACAGCTTCCATTTGACTCTTTCAAGTCATTTTCTTCATTGGATATATGGAAGTTCTATTGGGTACTTTTTTTCTTCTTTATCTTTTAATGTTGTTACTTTTCTTATTAAATATTGTTAATTATTAGTATGATGAAAGTTTCAACTGCTACTTCAAGGATAAATAATCAGGGAGCCACTGAGAGCTGAATAGGCCTCCATGACCTTTTTGTCTTCTCAATGGGAAAACATCCCCTGAACTTCATCTCCTAAAAAGCATCAGCAAAGTTCACAATCTTGTTGTTGTCAATCAGAATAAAAACCATTTTCAGTACATCATATGGCTTGATTGCTCTCTCCTTGTATACAAGGTCCTCTTTACCCTTGTGTTTTTGCTATCAAGTTCTTCTTTTCTTGCGATGGTATGCGAATGTGCAATCATAGTAGCGTGTGTTGTAGATCATTGTGGAAGACGACTTGCTTAATGAGGTGTGGTCTAACAATTACTTCCAAAGAGAAGCTAAAGCCCCAGGGTAGTCTCAATATGGAAGTATGAAGATTTTTTATCTGTTTATTGCAAAATGCCATTGAGTAGCAGCTTTTTATTGAATTTCACTAGGCATGCCTGCTGTTCCAGCAACTCCTTGTAATTTCCGTCTGAATGAGTTGTGTTTTTCTTTTTAATATAAATTAAGCTTGTGATTTCCACTTTTAACTAGGAACTGATCATATCTGGTTTGTAGGATGCATTATGATATATCTCATGATGAGAGGCACTTAGTTACATAGACCTTGCATTCTTTATATATTTCTACATAAGGCTTTTGTTCAAAAATGCGTAGATTTCAAAGGTTGAGCTCTGTGCTGTTGGTTATATTTGTATCTGAACTTGTTACCCTCGCAGTACCTTTACTGAGTGGAAGAATATAATGCAAGATCGTTGGATCAAATGCCGAAAAGGAATTGGTTACTATCCATTTGTATGAAGGGAAATCGGGTACATGTATCGTTGGCATTTTGATAATTTTGACCGTAGTATCTTTAGACTTGATCATGATTATTTATATGTTAATGGACAATACTTATCCTAGATTACTTTTTTTGGGCATTTAAAATAGAAAATTATATTTGTGGAAAAGAATCGCAAGATTAATGTAATGGAATAATAGTAGTGCTTGACTGTTTCCTGAGTTTGTCAACCTGAATTCTGTCAAACTAAGAATTCACTGTATAAGAAACAGTTAATTCAGTATCCATCACTGTTGGTCAACATTATTTGGTATTAGAGTTTTATGGGAGCATTACAGGAAATGCTTGCATGGAGGTCTTGAACATTGAGATTGAATACCATAGTCAAGCTGTCATGAACGATCTTATATTTTGAAAAAACACTTGATATGTATGTCCAATTACTTTTTTCACGTAGAGGTATTTGCCCACTGATGTTTACCCTGCACTTGTTGTATGATTATAGAGACAAATGTAAGTATTTGCAAAAATATGTATGTTTATGCACATGATCAAGTGATCAGAAGATTCTGGAGATAATATATGTGTGATGACTTTAGGCTCTTTATGGTCTGTACATACTGGTGATGGATGACTGTGAAAGCCATAAAAGCCCATAATAGGGTTGTGTTCTGGGCACAATATTGATTGATCATGGTACATCATCTTGCTCTAAGGAAAATATCAATTTAAACAAAAGCCCACAATAGGGTTGTGTTCTGGGCACGTAATATCAATTTATATTCTCATTAGTAGATTGTATGATATTAAGACTATTTTGTTAGGTCAGCAATGAAATTTCAACATTGGACATTTTGTTGCAGCCCTCAATACCCCGACCAAGCTCAAATCCCTTGTAAATTGTATATATTCTTGTGTTACTTCATGAAAAACTATAGGTTAGGAAATGTTCATTGTTCGATACTTTAAAATCATGACTTACTTCGGGGTATTCTGGTTGGCAATCCAGGTACTTAGAACTTAACATTCCAGGAGGTTATCAAATGCAGAAACCAGGAACTACTTTAACTTCCCAGGAGGTTATCTAACACAGAAACCAGGAACTTCTTACAGCAACTTCTATCTTCTCAAAATTCAATTTTTTTTATTTTCAAACTAATGATTCTTAAAATTTCATATCAAAAAAATCTCCCTGGATCTCCTAACCGAGGGAGTAGATGTAGAGTATGCTCCCATGGGAGCATTACGCTGGGAGTACATGCCGTAAAGAAAAAAGGCGAAGTGGGGGAGAGAGGGAGTGCGCCTGCAAATTCGTCAGTGTTTTGTGCCTTTTGGAGCGCAAAGGGTGGGCATGAAGCCTACTAGAGAGAGTGATGAAATTTCATTAATGTAGAGAGTGAGAGAAAGAGAGAGTTGACAAGCAGGAGAGAGGAATAATTATCGAGGTGCTTCCCTCTCTCGCTATGGAGTTGAGCACTGTGTTTCTCTGAGCTCGCCATGGAGTACAGAAAACTGAAAGACGAGGTGCACAGTCTCTCTCTCATTTCCTTTTGAAGAAGAAGAGTTTTAGATTCAGATCTCTCGTTGTGTTGCGATGATCTACCTCATTCCTCTTTGCTCTGCTTTTGCTTTCTGGTTTCTTTACTGGGGTTCAATGTGTGTTTGAATTTGGGGGATTTCAATCTGCTAATTGGTTCGTGATTTGTGTGTCTGTGTATGTGTGTGTGTGTGTGTGTGTGTGTGAGAGAGAGAGAGAGAGAGAGAGAGAGAGAGAGAGAGACGACGTATGTATCGTTCGTCGGTAGTAACTACGTGATCGACGAACGTCTCTCGTCGTCTACGTACGTAAACCGTACGTAACTTCTTACTTATTGTTACCTTACCCTT